TATTACTCTGTGGAAACACCAGTATTAAACCCTCGTTCCAAAGCGTTGGAGCCCACCAGGAGTGGGATGGTGGGGGGTCAGGGGTCTAACGGTGTATTACTACAAGAGCTAAAAGTCTGGATACTTGTACAGATTCTGTTCATGGCCGGGACATTATGCACTAACTAAAATTGTGATTTATTTAATTTGACAATTTGTCAATAAAAGGGTAACTTGCATTTTTATGGTAGATATATTGTGGATCGGACACTTTAGGACTGTGAATGTGGAGGACGCATGCTAGTTTACAGGGAAGGCAGAGGTCTAAAACTACTTCTGCCTCAGGTCGCAACGCTGCTGTATAGCAGTTACTGCCTCCTCAAACAATGTCCTAGCCTGTGACAGCTTATACAGAGAATCATAATGACCTGCTTATCCTGGTCAGGCACTGACAGACTGAGCCACAGCAATCTCTCCCTTGCAATGGCCAGGCCCATGACGTGGCCACAGCCTTGCACTGCACCCCTGGAGATGTGGAGAAAAAGATCAGCGATGATACACTTCTCCTTGCAAACAGCAGGACTCAGGGTACCTTATCAAGCAGGTGGCTCATGTCCTGAAACAGTGTGACCACATCAGAATTTTTATTGACTGAGCTGCTGGTTTATAAACATTTTGATACATGGAGGCTGTGAAAGGGTCTGTCTCACCTGGGAGGGTTAGACCCACCCAGGTGAGTGTGGGCGGTTTGGTGGGGATGAAATGCACGAGCTGCTCCACCGCTGGGAGTTCAGTGAGCCCCAAAATTTTACCGTCAGCGATCTCCAGACCAGAGTAACCTTTGATGGAAACTCTGTGGTGAAAGGTTTTATCCCAGTAACCCCTCATTTCCTGCATACATGCCACGACAGCAGGAATCAGCTGCTTGGTGGAGGCCTGGAGAGTGTCTGACAAGCAGGCAATACTTTCCTGTCAGACAGATCCCTCTCCTCCCCCCTGTCATCCTGCGCTGCAGGCCATCTAATGGACAGCGTGGCTGCTTCACGATTACGTATCTCATGTAAATCGACCTCACGCGGTGATGGATAGGGTTGAGTTTCCCCGCCGGTGGAGCTGCCAGGCTGCGATGCCTGGGTAGAAGGCAGAACGGCATTAACTTTGTCCTCCTTGTTTTCATCTCCAAGGAACATCCTCTTCCTCATCTTCTTAATTCTTTTTTTCCAGTTCAAGAGGTTTTCTCCTCTCTTCAACCAGATATTTAAAGTCAAGGGGCAGATTGAAGAGAGGAGTAAACTCCGCCTCCAGGTCCTTGACCATTTCACCGTAGCAAGCAGTGGCTTTGCCGAATTTGCCACTGGGATTTTGCTGCAGCGATGGGAAAGGAAAGAATCGATTTTTGGGGCCACCACCACTCGCAAACACCACTCCCACTCCTGGAAAAGGAGGGACCCTGTGTCTGTGAAGTGATTGGTCTGTCTTGGACAGGCATGGTGATAGTTGAGCTTCTGTGATTGTTCACGCCAGAGGGCACTTCCCCCTTAGTGAGATACCAGTGTGGTTTGGAACAAAACTCGTGTGTCAACCTAAAAAACACTTTAATGTCTAAATATGTCTGTGAAGGTTCTCAGTTATCCAGGTCATCGTAGTCAAAGGAGCTTGGAAAGAAAAGCGTCTGGACTTCTGTAAGTTGCTTGAAGACGTTTCACCTCTCATCCGAGAAGCTTCTTCAGTTCCCTGAACATGTTCCCTCTAATCCTGAAGGGGAAAAGAAGGAACACACACATGTAAAGGAAGCACTCAAAACGTGCGGTTATCATAATTGGGCGTTTATAAAGTCAGCAAAGAGGCACAGAAAAGAAGATCAGACACCAGCGAGGGAGGATAAGAAGGACAGACGCAACAACATTGTCATCCCCTATGTAGCCGGTGTATCAGAGAAACTCAGGAGAGTTTTCTCCAAGCATGACGTCCCGGTGCATTTCAGACCCAGCAACACACTCAGACAAAAACTGGTTCACCCAAAAGACAAAACTCCAAATCACAGACTTAACAATGTGGTGTTTGCTGTACAGTGCAGCGAGGAATGCCCAGACCTCTACATTGGAGAGACCAAACAGGGTGGGGCCAGGTTTCACAATGAGCTCACCTGAAATCCTGCCTGATTGGGACCCACACCTGTTTTCACACCTTGACTCATGTGATTAGAGGATAAGGGGGTCCTTTGTCCCTCTTTGGGGGGAAACTCCCACTGGGTTTAAATCTGGGACTCTCCACCATTTGACTCTTAGAACTGAAGAAGCTTCTTTAATGTCTAAAAATAAAACTTGTGTTACAGAAATACAGTGTGTCGAATCATGGGCCCTGTGAATAATGGTACATGAGACCACATTGAAACTGATGTTAAGGACAGTAGCCCCGTCTCACAGGAAAACATGCCTGTCCACCGTGTGCGTCTTCAAAGTGTGAAGTGGACACACATACAGAAGTTGCGTTACGTCAGATTATATTACCAACTTGTATAAAAGGCAAGAAGTTGGTAATGAGCAAAAAAACATGAACTACATTCCAGAGTCTGTAATCACCAGAAGGATTAAAACTGAGGGCTAATATGTATTTACATTAAAATGTATGAATAATATCAGTTGTGATGCTGTCCTGTGATTATTTAATGTTGGCTGCTGTTACTTATTGTAAATTCTGCATGTTGACCAGCATGCAGTATAACAGTATGACATTTGATGTGCTGTCTGTATAAATGCTAAATGGTACCAGAGGTCCCAGTTGTCCCTCTGGTGCATGTCCATGATGTGCCTAACTCCTAAATCTTTGGTACCTTTATGCTTTGTTTTTAGGACTCATTTAAGCCAAACTGCCAACTTATTTGTTTCATTTCAATGAAAGCAAGCCTGAGAGTGTTTATACCTGGCTTACATACCAATTATTACCTGACCAGTCCAATTATTAATTAGCAGTAATTATTATGTTACTATGCATGACGTTGTACATAGTTGTTGTATGTAATGTGATAATAATGCAGCTTCCCTGTTGATCTTACAGACAACACTGCTGGGATTGTGACTCGACATTCAGCTTTCCAGCGGCGGCTGCAGGATGTCTACATCCTTCCTGTTGTAGTTGAGGACAGCGGTTACCCCGCTCAGAGCAGCACAGCTACCCTGACCATCAGAGTGTGTTCCTGTGAGACTGTGGGCTCACCTCTGACCTGCTCACCGGTGGCCATGTTCCTGCTCGCTGAGCTCAGTGCTCAAGCTCTGTTGGCTATTCTTCTGAGCATTGCTCTGCTGATTGGTAAGCTAGTCTCACTATAATGTTGTGTCATGTATAAACACTCAAACTGTGGGGTTAGCGCTGCAAACTGCAGTTTTATGTGCAGTGTGTTCTGACTGAATTTGACTTTTTGCACTGTTAACATTAAGTAGCCTAAAAATCTTTCTTAATGTTGTTTAATGAAGAAAATCAGACCAGTTAATATTTTTATTAACCTCCCACCAGGTCACAAGCAAATAAATGTATTTATTTTTTGTTATAAACATTCTGTTTATATTGGACATACAGGTGAAAATACAATGTGCAAATTCCATATGAATATAAGGAGCTCTAAGGTTTTGAGCTTGATGATGCTGACCATACAAACTGATGCTGTACCTGAGCATATTACTCTGGTTCTCATCCTGTTCAGCGCTGATAATAAACCTGAAGTAGATAAATGAATAAATAACTGTAACTATTTACACAATGTTGCTTTTACAAGACTGTTATTGAAAAGCAAAGAAACATTGTTTAGAAAACCTGCAGGATGTGGAAGAGTTTTGATGTAACGATGGATGGCGGGCTGCAGTGATCCATACAGGACACACAGCATGAAGGTGTGGGGGACGACACGACCGAGAGCGAGGGGCGACTCGAACAATATATACTTACCAGAGTTCAGTTCAATTTTATTTATATAGCGCCAAATCACAACAAAAGTCGCCTCAAGGCGCTTCATAGATACAGAGAAAAACCCAACAATCATATGACCCCCTATGAGCAGCACTTTGGCGACAGTGGGAAGGAAAAACTCCCTTTTAACAGGAAGAAACCTCCAGCAGAACCAGGCTCAGGGAGGGGCGGGGCCATCTGCTGTGATTGGTTGGGGTGAGAGAAGGAAGACAGGATAAAGACATGCTGTGGAAGAGAGACAGAGATTAATAACAGATATGATTCAGTGCAGAGAGGTCTGTTAACACATAGAGAGTGAAGAAGAAACACCCAGTGCATCATGGGAATCCCCGGCAGCCTACGTCTATTGCAGCATAACTAAGGGAGGATTCAGGGTCACCTGGTCCAGCCCTAACTATATGCTTTAGCAAAAAGGAAAGTTTGAAGCCTAATCTTGAAAGTAGAGATAGTGTCTGTCTCCTGAATCCAAACTGGAAAGAATAACAACAAAAGATGCACAGGGTGGGATACAGCTGTAAACTATAACATGATGAGACACGAAATAAACACATCACGAGTCTGAACAAGGAACCATGGTTAGTTTAACAGGAGGACCAGACAGGACAGCACAGAGAGACGGATGAGATCAGGGACACAAGAGAACAAATCAGGGAAAATGAGACACAAAGGCACAGAGGGACGATAACCACAGGAAACACCAGATCGAAGGTCCATGAACAAACACAAGACTCACTTCACACACGGGACTAAAGGACAAAACACAGAGACCAAGATAAACAACATCAGGAGGCATGAATACAAAAGGAGACAAGCAATAAACTGAAACTGGATACATTACAGTAAACAACTCAGTAAATGCAGAAAAATGACAAACACTGGGTAGATGACCCAGGATGACCCCTTATGGTGCCTGTCCTCCCCATCCTGGTGTTTGAACCTCAGTGGGGTGTACTGCAGATTTGATTGCACCATGTGATGTTTTCGACATTTATATTTTTAAGGATCATGTATGTGTGTGGTCACCATGGTAACCAGTGCTTCTCTGTGTTTTCTGCCTTGCAGGTATGTCAGTGTTATATATGAGTCAGAGGCCCCAGAAAGTGAAAGACACGCTGATGAGATCAAAAGAAGACATCCGTGATAACGTCATCCACTATGACGACGAGGGAGGTGGCGAGGCTGACACTGACGCGTTTCACATGGGCACCTTGTGCAAAACGGACCACAGCAGCATCTCCGACAAGAAGAAAAACGGCTATGGCGACGGCATTCTGATGCATCTCAGCACCCACTGCGACAATGTCAGGTCACCTGACATCCATCTGCAAACAGCCAGCTTCATCGCCACCAGGAACAAGCCTCCACTCTTCAGGGCGACCCAAGGCGATGCTGAGTTGATCAGAGAGGTCATTGAACACCGACTGAAGGAGAGCCAGCAGGGGTACGCGGCCCTACCTGGTGACAAGGGGGATGGCTCCGAGGCGCGTTCGCTCTCATCCATAGACGACTCTTTTGTACTTGACAGTTTAGGGGATTTTAGCTTGCTTGGCGACTGGGGACAGCCTTTTAAAACACTGGCTAGCATCCTTGACAAAAAGCCACCGTCTGTCTTTAACGAGAGCTGAGAGGAAATTGAACTGAATATTAGTTCAGTTAGGTCAGATATTATTGAACATGTCACTTGTCAATGTATTTCTAAAGGTGCTGCTTTGCAGTGTCTTGAAGCTGTGATCTCAACAGAGGCTTGTTGTTACATTTCCATGTCATTTTCTCATTATTATATCTGTTTCTCTGCATGTGTGGACTGGATGGGTTGTTGCTGCAATCTGGTGGGAATTTCAAGTCAACGCCACCTTGAGAAATATATTTAGTTAAACAATTGGTGATGTTTGTGTATGTGTGCATAATATTCAACCATCCAGTTCCTTCCACTTATCTGGGGCCTTGTCACTGGGGCAGCAGCCCCAGCAGAGAAGCCCAGACCTCCCTCTCTCCAGCAACTTCTTCTAGCGTGTCCAGGGGAACACCAGAGTGTTCCCAGATCAGCTGAGAACAATGATCTCTCCAGCGTTTCCTGGCTCTTCCTTGTGGGACATGCTTGGAAACCTCAATAAGGAGGTGCCAGGAGGCGTCAGATGCCTGAAATATACATTTTTAAACGTGACAGACACTAGAATGTAAGAATTGTCAGAATGATAAAACCAAACTTGTTCACGTCGGTAGTATTTATATGCTTCCACATCTTCTGTCTACTCTCAAGTCTCAGCTTTCAAGCATTCTCCCAGTGGAACCTGGTTTGGTTCATCTTTGACTTCACCTTAGTTTGGACAAGCTGGCAAGTAGGTTGCAAAAGTGAATATAAGTAAACCTCTTAACTGGTCAATTCAATTCAATTCAATTCAATTTTATTTATATAGCGCCAAATCACAACAAAAGTCGCCTCAAGGCGCTTCATAGATAC